CAATAAAAACAAACCCAAAAACATTTTTTAAAAATACACACTAACACACTAATAGCCCTTCAAAGGCAAAAAAAAACGTTTTTTTTTAAATAACTTCTGCTCAAATTTTGTGTACCTAGGTAAAATTTCTACAAAAGGCCCAGCGGCGGATATTTTGTGGGGGTTTCCCCTTTTTACCCCCATATTTCGACACCACTGGATTTTATTGGAAAATCATCAGATTTCTTATTCAATTTAGAAGCAAAATTTTCATAAGATCAGTGGTTTCGGAGACTTTAAAATTTCAAAAACACCGAGTACCTACACAGAATTGTATCATATTTTATTTTAAATCGGTAACTTGGTAACAATTATGCAACGTTATCAGTTTATAAAATATTATAAAAATAAACTAGCGTCGAGGAGTCATCGTGCAGTTGTTACTGATCCCGTCATATTTTTAGGTTGTTTTATTGTAACGTTGATTGAGGATTACAATCAACGTCTGTAATTAATAATTTAATTGTATTATATCAAAAATCAAACCAACCCAAAAACCACCCTATTGAAAGTGATTATTCCATAATTTCATTGGTAAACTTTTATTGGCCCAATACAATCGTTCAGAAAAAAAATATTTTTTTATTACCAAAATAATAACAAAAGTTCCGTGTACACGGTGTTTTTGAAATTTTAAACTGAAATATCTCCGTTGATCTGATAAAAAATAAACATAAAAGTTTTGCTTTTAGATTGAAAAAGGATAAAAATAAATTTGATGATTTTCTAATAAAATCCAGTGGCGTCGAAAATATAAGGGTAAAAAGGGGAAACCCCTCCCAAAATCTCCTCCACTGGGCCTTTTGCAGAAAATTTTCATTATATTATCGGTTTAATGGTTTAAAAATTATTTTGAAGGACTATATCTCCGTTAGTATGCATTTTTGAAAAATGTTTTTGGGTTTGTTTTTATTGTTTTTTCAGGCTCTATCGATCATTAAAATTTTTCAGATTAATCCTGGACCACCCTGTATATATATATATATATATATTTTGTCCTGTCATTGGAATATTATATTCTGTTGGGCAATAAATTATTATTAATAAATTATTATTATTAAATGCCTTTCGTAGTGTTTTGGGTCGGTAAAATCACTCTTGAAAGAGCCTTTGGTTTGGTTTGGTTATAGGAGTCTTTTTAATAGCGCCAGCTCCGGGCTTGTCATTTTTCTTCGCTGGACCGATTTTTGTCCGAAAACGGTACTACAGGAGCGTCCGTTCACTTAACTAACACACACATAGCACAAACTACATACTAATTAACTTCCAATATACTTATTTATAATTAATTCTACTTAAAACTATAAAAATCTTTGGAAAAATATAGAACACGTCTACTCGGTTTTATACGGGTCAAGCAGTTGAGATTCCGATAACGTACCAACGTGGCTATTTATATAAATAAAAACACCTTGACATATTTAAAACTTTTAAAGTTGAATATCGAATTTTTGTGTTACGGTTTTTAGAAAACTTTTTGTATATCTATTTATCTATATATTTTGCACCCTTAAAACACAAACTATGATTTATTAATGGCTGCAAAAACATGACGCCAATTTCATACTAAAAATACCCATTCAGGAAACACAAAAGTTTCCAAATTAAATGGACTTCGTTACGGGATATAATTTAAAAAAAATTGTGCAACCAATGTTTTGTGGCTTCAAAGACAAGGGGGACTAAAAAAAGCGTTTTAAGGGGGTCTTCAGCCAAAAAACCACACTATCAGATTACACATATCATTAAACCCCTGTATACCAAATTTAGTGATTCTCGTACAACAGTGTTCTGAGATATAAGAAACAGAATATTCTTATAAGCAACTTTCAGGGGGCTGTAATTCCGAAGGAAGGGGCCAAAAATATGTGTATATATATATATGTGTCCCTAAATTTGTCTCAAGAATCTGTAACCGAATTTTATTGCATTAATTTAGGAACACCCTGTGTTTTAAAAGTGTGAGTACTCTGCCATTAGGCAAGAAAGTATAATGTAAACAGTAAAATGTGCCAGTATTGTCGACGACGATTCGAGATCGAGAGGTCGAAGTGAGATGTAGTGCTGTGCTGTGCGGAGTGGTGTGTGTTGTGCCGTGCTGTGCTGTGCTGTGCTGTGAGTGAGTTCATGAAAAGATGCAATAGCGAAAAGACGTGAGTGTAGTGCTTAGTATTTAAGATTTGGTTCGTGTGACACTTATTGTCTTCAACAATAGGTGGTGAAGCGAACACTGTACATATAGTTTTCTCCCCGTTCGGGGAGACATAATTGTTTTCCACCATGGGTAAAAATAAAATAAGAAATCAAATAGCCCCCCCCCCAGACAAGTCTGAACCAAAGATTGCCCCTAGGAACTCTCGAAACCGTAGCCGCTCCCCGGCTATAAAAGATATGAGTGCAAATAGCCCTCTTAGCAATCCGCTGTCGGACTCAGACACGGATCACCGCTCTCCATCACCCGCCTTCAGTACCACATCTAGTAACACCGTTTTAGTTACCAAAGATGAATACGACCAGTTAGTCAAAAACACTATATCCTTAGAGATCTGTGTAGTCGTTACAAGGCCCAAAACGAAGCACTTAGAACGGGAATGGATGCCGCTATCAAGGAGGCAGTCGCTTCAGCCGTGGCCGCGGCCCTGGCTTCGGCCCCGGTTTCGGCAAAACGTGCTGTGGCGAGTACCACCGTGATGGAGGCAGCCCAGTACCCCCCTCTCATATCCGACATGGAAATAACCCCTGGCCCAAGCCAAAAACGCCCCCACGCAAATAGCCCTGATTCTCCCAAAAAATCCAAACGTCGCAATTCAAACGCGTCGTCTACCGAGATTCCGACCAAATCCCCAGAAATTCCCAAAGAAGATACCTCTTCTTCCGAGGTAAAAGGTCTTAAACCTATACCAAAGAAAAGTACAAAAATCTCCCCGATTGTAATCCGTTCGCCTGAGAACTGGATTACTTTATCTAAAGAGTTCTCTAAGCTTAAGCTTAATATCTCCCAAGCCCGTACCATTTTGGAAGGCATTAAGATTTTCCCAATGACCGAAAACGATCATCGTGGAATAACCAAAAAATTAGACAATGATAAAATTCCTTATCACTGTTTCACTCTCCCTTCCGAAAGACAACTCCACGTTGTCATTAGAGGCATCCCTAGCGATATCCCCCTAGAAGAGGTTAAAGCCGACCTCGTCAGTCAAGGCCTAAACATCACGGCCATCAGCCACATGACCAATAAAGCGACCAAATAGAAGTATCCCATGGTACTCATCCAAGTCCCTCGTGAACAGTCTCAAGTTTACGAAGTCCGATACGTCTGCAATCTTGTGGTCCGTATAGAATCCCATAGAGCTAAAAGCGGCGTATCACAGTGTCACCGCTACCAGCGTTTTGGACATGCCCAAAACCTGTGCACGGCGCCACCTAAATGAGTTCGCTGTGGCGAAGGGCATCTCGCCAAAGAATGCCAAAAATCCCGCGATACTCCCGCCGTATGTGCAAACTGCGGTGGCTCCCACCCAGCCAGCTACCGGGGATGTCCAAAATTCCCAAAACCCACCTATATTCAAGCCCCTAAGGCGACCCCTACTTCCACAGTAGCACAAACTTCTGCCCGCAACTTCCCTGCGGCCAAGCAAGTGACTACAGAAATTTCCTACGCCAGTTTAGCCAAGGGACAAAATAATGCCAATATTTTGCCCCAAACTCCGGTAGCGACTGAAGCCCCTCTAAACTTAGACAAAGACAAACTTTTTGTCTTATTTCTAAATGCTATGCTACCCCAGCTAAACACCCTTGTAAAAAGCGGTTAAACCTCCCCCCTTATCTTTATTTTAATAAACCCATATAAGAGATAGGGCAGAAAGTAACGGGGCCGAACGAACCAAACTGGTGTGCACGCGCACCAGTCCCTGGGGGACGAAACCATTGCTCCGCAGACTCCTTGTGGAGTCTATAACATAGATAGCCATAATTAGATTGGGCGTAAGACTCTAAGTCAAGCGCTGCGGCCTCTATACTAGAGAATTAGAGACCATATTAAACATAAGACAGATAAGAATGGGGCGATGCAGACATGCGTGCCGGCCGGCATAGGTGATCATATGTCGGACGGAACGCTTGAACACCGGACTTGATGCGAAAGAACCATCACCCAAGATCAATATATGCCGACCATATTAGTACAAAAGCACCTTTGTAAGATTGGGTACTAGACACTACGTCGAATACCACAATCCCTATCTGCGTATAGGCTATATATATATTATGTCATAAGATTGGATTCGGACTGCCCCCACCAGAAAAGGTTTGACAGACGGGTCACCACTCATATCGGGCGCCGCGGCGGATGCCAACGCTGAGCCATATTAAGACAGCAGGGGCTACTGTGGAAACAGATAGCTCGCAGGTAAGATAACCAGAATACTGCGCTGGTTATCTCCTATACAGATACCAATAATATTGTAAATTGGTAGTAGGTGGATCAAGCTACTCTCTCCACATTCTCACTACGATCATAAATCTAAAAGAGTGTCAATCTCTTGATTTGAAAAGTCAATACGCTAGCAGTCTTTGAAGAGAGTATTGTCGACGATTACTGCACTTTTGATTCTATTACAATACTGAATAGTATAAACCAAATAGTGAAGTGTATTATTAACTTTTATTGTTCTAGTCTTGCAGTCGATAAAACGCTCATTTTGGATGCCTTAAACATAATGTCAAATTTTGAGTTTTTCCCTCTTGCAGCCAAGGTGCGATATATTTTTCTCTAATAATTTATAATTTTGGATCCGATTTGTGTTCCCATACTATGAGGATCCAAAAGCGCTACTATATCGTATTATTTGTAGTTGTGCCGTTATGATTAAAACTTAAAGCTATTAATAATAATAATAATAATAATAATAATAATAATAATAATAATAATAATAATTAACAAATTGTTTTTCGTTACCTACCTGTAATTCCTTAGGACTTGTTCTCGTACAAATAGCAAGCGTCAGAGTATACTCAAATTGATGAATTATTAGATTTAGATAAACTGTCTCTTCCCAGTCAATATCAGGATCTCCTATTGGCAATTTTCTACTATCTTTTCGAAACACATCCACTTCGGTCTAAAATGTAAAAAGATATACTTTTATATAAGTATTAATTAATTTGTGGCTACAAATTATTATGATATGCTTAAAATACAGTATACCTGAGCTATTAAATAAATACATTTGGTTATTTTAGAGAAAAGTTATTTAACTGTCAAGGTATTTTTTCGTTTTTTAAAAAGAAAAATTAATTATTTTAATCAATTTTGAGGGAAAAAGAGTGGTTACATAATCCTATGCATATAAAGAAATATAATAATAAAATACACCTTCAAGGTGTTACGTGGCTAGGGGACAAAAATTAAATGTTTTATGTAAAATCGAATTCTAAGCAAAAAAATAAAGAATAATTTTGCCCAGATCGGGCTTTGTTAGCGAGATATTTTTTATCAAGGTGGTGCGCGACTTTTGAGATAACCTGTATGTATATCGAAAAGAAATAAATTATGGTGAAAATGGCAGAGATGTTTTATTAGCCGTCCAAAATAAGTTTAAATCAGAAATACTTATTGTAGATTCTCCCGTCAACAAAATCGACATTATTGCAGTAATGATAGTTACTTATATTTTTTCTTGTACAACTAATTATGGTTTATTTTTTGAATTTCAGTAAAACGTTATACTTAATTTTCCAAGCACTATAATTGTCGGAGATTTAAATATATCTGCTCTACAATCTTTTTATGAAATTTTTTTGATAGTTCCTACAGCCGATTAAATGTTGTCATTTTTTGTCATGTGACTCAAATCACCCAATCATTTCAATATTTAACTGGTAACAGCATTCAGGGATGTTTTTAATTACTACACTACACTAAAGAAGTATCTTAAATAAATAGGTAGTTTTTTCACAAAAGAGAAGAATGCAGAAGTCTTACTCGACAAATTTTGTTCAATTGCACAGCTAAATCGCGCACGTTATTTGTGTTTTACGTTGCAAGGAAAAAATTAAAAAACTTTTTTAGTCCCCGATTTTGATTCCTTATATCATTGAATAAGAAACTCAACGCTTAAATGCTTATATAGTAACGTTAGTGTGTGTATTTTATCTAAGGGATCATGGTGAATTATTGTGTTTTCAATTGTAAATAAAATTCAAGAACTAAATCGTTGCATTTTCATGTTTTGCCAAGAGGATACAATTCGGCAAGTACATTTGTTGGTGCAGAATTAACTAATGATAAATTTACCTAATATAATTTATATTTAAGTTTGGAAATTTTTAATAAATTAGTAAAAAATTATTTTTGCACAAACATAACCTTAAAATCAACCATTTTTATATTTGAGTTCTCTAAAAAACGCCGACAACTGCATTTTAAATAACAAAATATACCTACGAATTCATGGCAACATAGTATTATATATAATACATAATAAAATAGTATTTTACCGTTAAGTGGAGACTTTCTTAATCAACGCTTTTAATAATGCTAAATGCTGTTTAAATTTAAACGACTTATTTGTTTGACGATTTTTACTGAATTGAAATGTTTACACTTTTCACGTTAATCACTACTAAAATGTGTATTTATTGTATCCAATAGGTACAATTTATATTTACAGAGACTTTATGCAATTTATTTCTTCATTCAGATTAACACTGTTTATTGGAAAACCGGTAAAAACTCAACCCAGGATTTCCTCTCGAAATACACCCAACAACACAACAAATCGAGCCACGGTTTTTTTTCCGATATTTTTTAACATTTTCGGGCTTTATTCTCAAAAACACTCGTTTGTAACTTACGCCGACAGCTGATTATCAAAAGTTGTTACTTTTGTTACGATGATAACAGTCGAGTGGTGGCGCTACTAGCGATACTTCTTTAGCGTATGACACCAATAATGTCAACTCCATATGTCAAATACATTTTTAACTGTCACGTTTTGGCAATACGAATTTTCAATCTATTAACGCGCTAATCAAAGCAAAAATTTTAACAACTACCACAAACAGTCACACATACACATGGGGAAGATTTATGGAGTTTTGCTGTGACCAAAAATATAAGTTAAATGAGCATAGAAGCGTAGAAAAACTGGCAATGATACTGAAAGATTGAGCGGTGAAAATGAGGAAGAAAGATGGGATAGAATTTAAAGAAGCAACCGTAAAGACTATGTGGAAAGTTTCGTGCAAACTTTTACAGGATAAGTTATTTGATTTTTGTGTGAAAAAATTTTCTGACCGAATATCCCTATGACATTGACAAACGCCTCATAATTTTATATCAATTTTCTCAAGCACGTTTGTTGGTAACAGCCCTCCGCATTCGGCGCACATGCTTTCGATTGTCATAAAATTATTTCGTGCATTATCAATGTCTGTGGTGACCACTAATTGTTGGTAGAAGGTGTCAATCACGAACTGTCATAATTAAATGCTGACGATTTATAAAATTGCTTAATATTATATAAGTAAATAAGTATAATGTTAATAAACTTATAGTTATATAAAGTGTCATTACTTCAATCCAAGTATACAATAGTTGGCGACGAGGATAAAGAAAAACAGTGTCGAATATACAATATACAATGAACGCTGAGCAGTTTAAAGAACTTTTGGCGGCTATGCAGCAGTCCCAGCAGGAGATGCTGTCTCAAATCGTAACACAGTTACAGCCAGGACATTTAGTTAGCACTCAAGCAGATTTTTCAAGAATTTCACCCTTCGAAAATTATGATGTTCGTAAAGAAAAATTTACATGCTATTTAGAACGCTTCGAAAAGTATTATACAATGAAAGGAGTCACAGACGATGCTCAAATTGCACAACTACTATGTGTTAGCATAGGTTCAACTCATTACAATAATTTAGCAGCATTTTTGGGTCCAGAAAAGCCAGTTAAGAACCTGAACTTAAAAGATTTAAAGGAATCATTTAAAAAAATGCTTATTCCCAAGAAAAGTGTTGTCGTTGCTCAACATTATTTCCTGAATATATTCCAGAAAGAAAACGAGTCAATAGCAGAATTTGTAGCAACACTACAAAAAGATATGGCAGAATGTGAGTTTGCAGTTACCTGCCAATGTTCAAAAACGGTATCAGTTGCTGATATCTTTCTAAGAGCTCAATTTATTCGAGGTCTACGTGACAATTGGCTTAGAGAACAAGTCCTTCAATCCAATGCAACCACTTTTGATGACATTTTAATAAAAGCTACAGCATTTGAGGCATCAAAAATTGAAAGTAAACAGCTTACGCAACACCCAAATCAATTAAATCAAAATATTTTCGATACGAATAAAGTAGCAAGTTCTTCACATCTATACAGAGGCTACTCCAGTTCAAAAATTTCTAGTTATAAAAAACATTTAAGTAAACCAGATTATAAAGCATTGGGAATTGAAAGTCTATGCATCAGATGTGGGAAAAACAACCATAAAATTCAAGATTGCCGAATACCAAAAACAAAACTAAAATGTACCTCATGTAACAAAGAAGGTCATTGTGCAAAGGTATGCATATCAACTTTATTAAAATCTTCCAAAAATAGAGCAAATTCTAGCTCTACAAACTGTATTGAAACTGTTGAATTGTCTTCAAATTTACATTCTATTGGGTTAAACAAACTCATAACAGTTGTAGACTTATTTGAGATTGTTGATTGTGATAAATACCTTATTTCTGTCCATCTTAATGGTAAATTACAAAAATTTGAAGTCGATTCGGGTGCAAAATTTTCATTAATATCAGAAAATGATTTCAACAGATTAAATTTAAATCTTTCTATCAAACCTTCTAACATTGCATTCAAATCTTATTCTGGTGATATCATCCAGTCTAAAGGCAAAATTTATGTTCCTGTATCATACAAAAATAAAGAATTTATAGGCGAATTATACATTGTGCCAGAGGGACATGAAGCTTTACTAGGTCGACAGTGGATTCGAAGCCTAGGTATTGAACTTCAACAGATTGATGCAGAAAAATCCAAAGTATCTTCAATAAGTCAATTTCATACAATTCATTCAATTGACGATATTTTTACAAAATTTGCTCCCATTTTCGAAAGAAGAGTTGGTTCTGTTTCAGATTTTCAAGTTTCACTTCAACTTCGAAAGGATAGTAAACCTTGTTTCACCAAGGAACGCAGCATACCTTATGCTTTAATTGACCGAGTTGACAAAGAATTAGATTCTCTTGAGGCTGAAGGAATTATTTCTCCAGTTGCATCATCAGATTGGGGATCTCCTTTGGTCGTTATTCCTAAACAGGACGGGGGGATACGTCTCTGCGTCGACTACAAATGCGGAGTCAATGAGAGGTTAGTTCAGGCAAATTATCCAATTCGTCGTATTGATGATGTGCTCAGTAGCCTTCGCAATTCAAGGTACTTTTGCAAACTCGACCTTTACAAAGCCTACTTGCATCTTAAAGTTGACAATGAAAGTAGCATAATCCAGACAATTTCAACACATAGGGGTACGTATCGCATGCACCGACTTAGTTTTGGAATTAAAACAGCCCCATCAGAATTTAATCGTATTCTATCTCAAATTCTAAAGGATCTTCCTAAGACTGAGGCATATTTCGACGACATTGTTGTACATGGTGTAACAAAAGAAGAATGCATTCAAAATTTATATTTATGTCTTCAAAAACTTTCTCAGCATGACTTACACATCAATAAAAATAAATGTTCATTTTTCAAAGAAAATACTGAATACTTAGGTCATGTCATACAATTCAATAAAATCAGTAAAGCTCCAGAAAAAGTTGCAGCCATTCAAAACATGCCACGCCCTTCTAACGTCGATGATATAAGGCGATTCTTAGGCCTTGTAACTTATTATTCAAGATTTGTGCCCAATTTCTCAACTATGTCTTACCCTCTCCGGTGTCTGTTAAGAAAAAGTCAACGTTTTGCATGGACAGCTGATTGTGAAGCAGCTTTTCTTAAACTCAAGGTAGAACTTTGTAGCGATCGTGTACTTACACCATTTGATCCAGCATTACCTCTTCTTCTTACTACGGATGCTAGTCCAACGGGGATTGCAGCCGTTCTTAG